ACCATAGAGATACCATAGAAAAATACCGCCAACACGTGACGCCTGGATAATAACAACGTTATACCCCATTCTTTCGACGCTCGATGTTCGAACGCTGAAAGCCATTTCGTCAGTTCCACTCTGTCTGTCTGTCTCTCTGTCCCTCGTTAAAGTTGGGACACCAACCCTCTGTTCATGCTACCCTGTTACAAGCGTCCCGTTCGATCGTTCCAAGGGCTGAAACGTTGCGACGTCGCGGCGCACACCCCGACGTCGTTCGAGCACCCCGGCTGCTGACTAATAACGACCAACAGATACTCGAGTTTAAAGACGTTACGACTCTATATACGTATAGAAAGGCTTTACACCAAGACTTTATTACACGTGGTAAATTACATTTCTGTTCCGTTGCTTCATACGAGAGGAATTTTGACATCTCGTCGATCAATATTCTCTTTCTGGGAAATTTAAGCTTGGTAATATTGAAAATATATATCAAAGAAATATATATCAAAGTAGAGGCCGTTCGTGAGAATACAGATTTCCGTAGATTTTGTATTTTTTGAATTATTGATCAAAAGTAAAACCTTGCTCGAATGTGTTGTTTGATTGAAAGTATATGTTATATGAAACATATCCTTTGAATCGTCAAACAACATCGAAGTCGGATAGTCGACAAAATTGCACAATAATTCTCTTCGGATGAATATTCCGAGTGTTCAACTTCAACTTTATTTTATTTTTTTCCACGGTAATTTGCAGAAATCCGCGGGTCCATTTTCGTCGCTTGAAAATTTAAATGCAATCTCGTTTGAGGTGTTTTATTAAATTTCTGGCTGGGAAAATGGTGCTGCGATGGTGGTACAGTGTCGCGTTACACGATTATCGAATTGGGAACGTAAAAAATCAAAATAAAAAAGAAAAAAACACCAGAGATAGATGAAAGCAATACGCATACCTGCGCATCGCCATCAGGTTAATTTAAATTTTTATGAAGCCGCTGCCGATCTCGCGTTAATTTGAATTTTTCCGCCGAAAATTGCAACCTTCCCCGATTCCACCATGCATCGTGGTTTCTTGATTCAGGTCTTGGGGTTCAAGGACACGTATATCTGGTTCAAAGATGACACCGGTGGTCAGAAGAAAAGGGGTGGAGTTTGGTTAACGAAAGCACTAAATTCGAGCAACAAGGTAACATGGCTGAAATTATCAAAGTCAATTAATTACCGATTTTCCAATTTTTTGTCGAAAAAAAATTTCAGAAATTAATCCTTCAACTGATGAGGATCCTTCAATTAATTCGTCACTGGAAAAATGAAAAGTCTTTAAAGTTTTATAGTATCGATCCTTGCAGGAGAAAAAAATTAATAGCAACAATTATTGCAAAGAAATCATTCGTTTTTGTAGTACTGAAGCAGTAAACAAAAAAAGTAGAATCTTCAAAATACAAAATCTTCAAAACGTTGAAAAGGGTTAAATTCTTTCAAAAACTATCGAAATATTAATCTCTACTGGCACGATTTTTCTGTTCTGGAGATTATTTGGGCGGACCAGCAGAAGAAGATCGAGCGACACAAACGCGGCTACTTGCCACTATCTAGCCTCGACTCGGAGAAACCACTGATAAGGGAAAAGAGACTGAGGATGGATCAGCATTACTTGAATAGTATACAGGACAACGACGAAGACTGGCAGGAACTTTGGCGAGAAGATCCTCTAGATTCCACATTGATGTTCAATGACGAACTTTGGGATCAAGAATGGTATCTGGTAACGGAACAAT